GCTCCTTATTTAACTTTCATTCATTATCTTACTCATTCAATAACTATTTGAGAATACAGTGTGCGCCAGGCATTGTGCCATTCTCTATGGACGGTGAACAAGATATATTTTCTATCCTGAGAGAATTTATAAGTCCAGAGTGAAAGATAAATATTAACAAAATAATCATAAAAAGAAGTGTATAACTACAAGCCATAAACAGTACTTCATAGGAAAATAAATGAGCACTGAAGGCAGATGAGGGAATACTGTGGGTAGAAGTCAGGTGGAATCAGGGTCAGGATAGGCTCTGTCAGAAAGGGAAGTTTAAGTTGAACTGTTAAGTATGAGAATGGGTCAACTAAACAAATCATGTCCCAGGTATAGCAAAAAATATGTGAAAAGTCCATGTGGTAAGCATAAGGTGTGTTCAAGAAAATGAAAAGCTTTAAGGGTTGCTATGATTTGGACTAGAGATCAGGTAGTATCAGATAAAATAGAATTGGTAGGGACATTCACTTGATTCTTAATGGTTTAGTTTTTATAACTAAACTATATTAGTCAGCTCAGGTTGCCATAATGAAATGCCATAGACTAGGTGGCTTAAATAACAGAAATTAATTTTCTCACAGTTCTGCAGGCTGAAAGTCTAAGTCCAGGGTGCCAGCATGGTCTGGTTCTGGTAAAGGCTCTCTCCCTGGCTTGCAGATGACCATCTTCTCACTGTACCTTCACATTGACGGGGTCTGAGGAAGGAAGACAGAGAGAGATTTCCTTCTTCTTTTTTTTTTTTTTAATAAGGCCACAGTCCTACTGAATTAGGGTCCCATCTTTATGGCCTTATTTAACCTTAATTACCTCCTAAAGACCCTATCTCCTGATATAATCACATTGGGGAGTAGGGATCCAACACATAAATTTTGAGGGAACACAATTCAGTCCATAGCAAAGACCACCAGAAAGTCATTGAATGATTTACAATAGTGAGATATGATCATATTTAACAAGATAGCTCTAGATGCAGGGTAGAAAATGGACAGAAGAGGGGCAAAGGTGAACATGGAATCCAGTTAAGAAGTATTTTGCAGTAGTTCAGTTAAATTCAGACTGAGCTTACTGAAGCGCTATTGGGAAGGTGATGTAAGAGTTATACAGGAGAAGAAATTGAGAAGGTATTGCAATTCATTTAAAATGATACTGAAGTTATAAAAGGAACTAAGGATGGTGCTTAGGTTTCTAGGTTGCTCAAATGAATGGGTGATGGAGCTATTCAATGAGATAGGGAACACTGGGAGATGTCTAATTGTGGGGAAAGTTTGTAAGTTCAGTGTGGTATGTGGTACATTTAAGGAACTTTGACACATTAAATATTATCTTGTCAGAATAATTAATACTAAATGCTGGAACAAATATCTTCTAAATATCAATGCCTTAACAAAATAAGAGTTTCTTATTTACATCATAGCCTGATGTGGTACACCTTAGATTTCTGAGATACTCCTCCAAGCAGTGACACAGAAGTCCAAGCTAGTCCTGGCCAGTGTTGCTCAGTGGTTACAGAGTTGTCCCAAGCACCAAAGGGTCACAGGTTCTATTCCCAGTCAGGGCATATACCCAGACTATGAGGTCAATCCCAGTTGGGGTGCCGACCCCAACTCTCTCTCTAAAATCAATAGAAACATATCCTCGGGTGGGAATTTTAAAAAGAAGAAATCCAAGCTAATTTCCTTCTTGAGATGATGCTTCTGAGATCACTGAGAAAAGGAAAGAGAAAATATGGATGGCCTAGCTGGCGTGGCTCAGCCATTGAGAACTGACCTATGATCTAGGAGATTGCAGTTTGATTCCCGGTCAGGGCACATGCCCAGGTTTTGGGCTTGATCCCCAGTAGGGAGCGTACAGGAGGTGGCCGATCAATGACTCTCATCATTGATGTTTCTATCTCTCTCTCTTCCTCTCCTTCCCTCTCTCTGAAATCAATAAAGACACATATTTAAAAAAGAAAATATGGATGAACACATAGGGGATGTGCTGTTCAGACCTGAAAGTGGCATGCGTAATTTTTATCCCATAACCCAGTCAGGATGCAGTCACATGTCCTGACTACTTTAAGGGAGACTGGGAAATATAGTTCCTATGAACCAAGAAAATGGAATTTGTATTAGCAAATCTCTGCCATATTTACCATGTGCTAGGTACTATTTTAAGTCCTTTATATGTTTTAACTCATTTATTCCTCACATCAATCTTATAAGCCACATACTATATTATCATCACCTCCATGTAACAGATTAAAAAAACAAAAACAAGGTACAAAGTCTGAAAAATTTGTCACATAGTCAATAAGGTAACCAAGGATTTAAATCCAGGTGATCAGGCTCCAGATGTCTTTTAATGAGTACATAATACCAACTCTTCAAGTTGAGATTCAGTATATGGTAGTATATAAGTCCAAAGTTCAATAAGAAATATTTGCTGGAGATAATAAATTTGGGAGTTATTGGTGTAACTCAGGGTTTCCCAACCTCAGCAGTATTAATATTTTGGGCTAGATAATTTTTTGTTGTGGGGGGCTATCCTATGAAATGTAAGGTGCTTAGCAGCATCCTTGGCCTCTACCCAGTGAATGCCAGTAGCATTCTTCCCCCAGTTGTAACAACCAAGAATGTTTCCAGACATTGCCAATATCATATGGGGGCATAATTGCACCTGGTTGAGAATCACTGAAAGTCATGAGTATAAATGAAATTATTAAAAGAAAAAGTATAAACTGAAAAGAGACAAGAGGCTAGTACAGAGNGAAATTATTAAAAGAAAAAGTATAAACTGAAAAGAGACAAGAGGCTAGTACAGAGTCTTAACAAACTTCAAAATGTAATGGCCGAAAAGGAAGATGGGCTAGCTAAGGAGAGTAAGAAAGAATGGCCAGATAGAGGAAATTTAAAATAGTAAGAAAGTTACAGTAAAAGAATACTGCAAGGAGGAACAAGGGTTTAACAGTGTTAGATGCTACTGAGAGATCTCGTAAAAGAAAGATTGACAAATGTCAATTAAATAGCACAAGAAGGTCATTGGTCACCTTAGCAAGAGCTATTATAGTTAGTTGATGATAGGCTAGAAGCCAGATTAGAGTGGAGTGCGAGCAAAAAGTAAGGTATTGCCAACCTTTGGGAAAGGAAGGAGCAGTAGCTGAAGGGGGTTGAGGGTATCAGAGGATTTTTTTTCAAACCTGACAGAGACTTGAGAAAGTTTAAAAGTTGATGGATGATTCTAGTTCTTTGAATTGACTTGTGACAAAGGATAAACAATAGTGTAATGTTCCTAAGAAAGCACAGGTACAAGGATTGGACTTATGTTTGGGTGGGAACAGTGTCCCTGTGGTAACTGAAGGGTAAGTGCCCAGTATGATGCACTTTCCTGCAGACACCTTACATTTAGCATTTCTAAGTTAAGAAAATATCTTTCCCATAAAATCTGTAATTGCTCCTGTATTGTCTAATATTAATATTGCTGTTCTCTGCTTTAACTAGCCCATCAACCGTTATCTTCTTTCTCACCATCTTCTTCCCCAAATCTATTCCATTACCAATTCTTATTGATTCTACCTTGTTAATGCAACTTGAACCAGAGCCCTCTTTTTATTTCCATTGCCAAGAAATGAGTGCATATTTTTATTACTAGCTCAAATGTCACTTCTTTCCCTATTTCTCTCAGCCAAATAAATTTCTATGTATTTAGCACTAAAAGGAAAACAGAAGGAGGGACAATGTCAAAATCAAAATTATTACCTTACTATGTTATGGATTATTTTCACGAGAGTGTCCTGTTACTCAAAACATTTCATTCTTTACCATTTTTAATGGGGCCTGTCCCTCTCTTCTTTTTTTCTTTTATTATTAAAAAAAAGTGTTAAAAGTAATTATTTGGTCTTACACACCTTGCTTAAGCAGAACTCATAAAACACCGCACACAAGTGTCGAATAAATGCGGATTCAATGCATCCACCAAATCAGCCCTGTGGATTGATATTTAGAAGCACAATAAATTTGGAGAGGGGGTTACCAAACTTGCTCTAAATTCTACATCAATCTGCTGGAACCGGATTTAGTCTTACCCTGAATCAGGCTGGTCCTTTGACCCGAAGCAACTGGTGGAGAAATAAAATGATAAAATGGCCTGGCTCTGGTTAACACTTATTCGAACCTGCCTTCATGTAAGGCTTCTGCTTCCAATACATTTTGGTCGAACACTATTGACCGGTTCTTAAAACACCTGTGCAGTCCAATCGACCTTTGTTCTTTCCAAACTTCACCGAACTCCCGGGAAACCTGTAATTTTTACTACAGGGTCGAGGGGCCCATTGTACACGATCTGGAACCACTGCCCAACCCTTTCATTTCTTTCCGTTATACAGTATTTGCCCACGAGGAAAAAAGCTTCAGGTTCTCCGGTGAAACCCGTGCAGACGCGCCAGCTGGAGTGAGCATGGACCCTACGTGTTCACTCACAGCTCCCGCTTCCACATCCAGCAGTCCCGGAGCGGGGGTCCCGGCTCGCCCCTGTCACCTGAAGCACCTGGCGTGGAGGCCACGCCCTCCGCCTTGCGCCTCCAAGCCTGGGGTAGGTGTCCGCCGCCTCCCACTGCGCCCCGGCGTTCGCTCCTCGTCCGGCTCCCGTCACGAGGCCGCGTCCAGCACCTTCACGCCCTGGCCCCGCCCCCTCCGGCTCCCTAACGTCCTCGGCGTCGGGCTCGAGCCTGCGCCTGCGCGTGCGCCCTGAGGCCGAAGTCGGGCGCGCGGTGGCTGGGGCTCGGAGAGCGGCGGGCGGTGCAGCCAATGGGAGGTGGCGGTGGCTAGCGGCCGGGAGGCGGGGCCTGCGCGGGTGTTAGGTTAGCGCGAGGCGTGACCTAGTTGACAGGCTCTGAGGTGCTGCTGTGGCGNGGGTGGGAGCCGAAGCCGAGCGCGGGCTGAGGGACGAGGGCGGCGACTGGAGCGCAGCAAGCGGTGCGGGACGCGGAGCCTTTTTCACTTTTTCCCTCCCGGGTGCCCCCTCTCTACCCTCCCACTCCACACCACCCCGTTTGCCCGTGAGCCTGGGGAACTTGCAGCTTAAAGCCAGCCACCCCCACGGCAACATGTACCCCAGCAACAAGAAGAAAAAGGTGTGGAGAGAGGAGAAAGGTAACTGGCCCGGCGA